TCTACTAATGACTATTCTCTCTACGTCCAAAAGATGAACTCTTTAACTTGCACATGTGAGTGAGAACATGTGTTATTTATCTCTCTAGGCCTGTGTTGGTCTCACTTAATGTAAAATCTCAAGCTCATCCATACAGCCAAGAGGCTTTGATTGGTTGTGAATTTATTAGCTTCTCTATGCCTCAGTTTCTCATTTCTAAACCGAGGCTAATTATAGTACTTACTCAGTACTGTTGTGCTGATTAAATGAGTTAATGTATATAAAGTACTCACAGCAGATACTGGCATGTTGTGAGCACCATTCAAGTTTTAGCTTTAAATATGAATGTTGCTCTTTTTCAGTGTTAAGTCCTTTGCACTCATTTTCCTGAGACTGAGTTCCAATGTTTCTTTTCACATGATATGATCCTTCCTAGCCTGACTTACTCAGAACCTGTTTTAGGTCTTTGAGGCACTGACAATGTAATGTAAGAGATAAAAATGTCTCCCTCAAATGTGTAGAAACAAACACCAGGCTTTGTAAACTTATTATGATCGCTTTGCATTACTTGAAAAGATTGACAAAGGGCAAACCTATGAGGTAAGACTCCTCAGAAACCCACTGAATAAAGCAACAAATTTAACCAATAAATTTTGGCGGTTCACCCTATCTCTGCTATGGCCTGAATATCTGCCCAAATGCAGATAGATTGAAGCCTTCATCTCCAATATGATGGTATTTGCAGGTGGTCCTTTTGGAGGGTAGTTAGGCATAAAGGAGGTCTTGTAGCTGGGCTCCTCATGTTGGTATCAGTGCCCTTATAACAAGAGTAAGAGACCAGCGCACCTGCTCTTTCTACTATTTGAGGACACAGTGAGAAGACTGACATGTGCAACCTGAAAGTTGGCACTCCACAGACACCAAATTAGCTAGCACCTTGACCTTGGACTTCCCAGGCTCCAGAACTATGAGAAATAAATGTTTTTGTTTAAGCCACTCAGTCTGTGGTACTTTGAGTGTATAAGAGCAGTTCCAACAGGCTGAAAGACCTTCTTTCTCCCACCAATATCTGAAAGAATGTTCACTGCAGGATTGTAATTCCCATCTACAGCCAAAGGGATGTCACCTCCAGCCACCTCCACTGTTAGAAGCAGCAGTCTCATGATAAGCCAGCATCCCAAGATCCACTTTCCCAGGACTTAGGCTTGTTTAATATTGTTTAGATCTCAGCAATTTCCAACCTCTCTCCTTGAGCCTTCTGCCCCCTTCTCTACTGTAGTTCTTAACCGTGAGCTTCTTCACCCTCAATGAATCCTCGACAGAGAAAATTAGAGGAAGTCCCCTAACTATATTCAAAAGAAGGAAGGTAGAAAATTAGGAGGGACATCCTTCCTATGGTGTAAAAGCAAAGGCATGCCTTTTAAAATCAATGCTAGCATTGCAGAATAGCAGCCGTGTAGGTGCAATGAGCATCCACCCTCACATAACTAACCCGTGAACTCTGCCCCAGTCTGCCAAGGCGCACTTCAAACGTAACTGCTGCTGGTCTGCAGGACAGTAAAGGAGCCAGGACTACCTAGAGAGGCAGAAGAGCCACTTCCAGGCTAGGTCTTCTGCTAACCAGCTATGTGACTATGGAAAAGTGAAGGCTCATCATCATCTCAGCAAAGCTATTTAATCCTATAAGGTCACAAGAATCCAGTTAGTGGGCTTGTCCATAGTTTTACATCAAGCCCAACTTCAGAAGTTACCTGTGTAGAGAAGAGTTTCTAGACCTAGAGTTCCACTGTGGCCCCTCATTAAATACTGTCCCATAGTGCACACTTGGGTTGTGTGAGGTCTGATGATCCACCAATCCTAGGCCTCTCATATGGATCACTTTCTCTTGAGGACATCAGGCAAAACTTTCCTAAGAATATTCCATTTCACTATTGCCCCAAATGCCTTTGACCTCTCTGTGTTCCCCATCAACTTGGTCACCTGGTCATCTTGTAATGGACCACCAAGTCAGCATCACATATGCTGCATTTTTGCAGCCAGTTTATCTCTGTCTTGGACATCATTGATGTGTTATGTGCTTGAATCCCCTACCCCGGAATTCAGTACAGGCCTCCTCTCGGAGGGATGCATAGAAATAACAGTGATAACAGAGCGCTTCTCGTGTCTGTCCTTGCACAGGAAATTGCCCTCAGTCTGGGAATCAAAAAGAACATTTTAATGTTCTTTCTTCTCCTGCCCACCTTCTCACCGCCAGCCCACCCCTTTTGAAGCAATGACAGTCTTTCTATCTGGTCTTGTTAACCCGTGGCTAAAAAAGCAAATTTTTCTACATGATTGATATTTTCAGTGTAAATCTAGAGCTTTGCCTTCAAAGCCTGACAGAAATAAATAAAAAGACAAATTATAGGTGCTTTGGTTGTCACTGCAGGGGCTCCTATCATGCCATCAGCTTTCTTGTCCACAAATGTGTGAAGCGCCTGAAAGACTAAGGTAATTGAAAGGCAGCCATAACTCCCTGGTTTCTCAGATATTAACGGAAATTGCCTCCTACCGAGGTTGCTTTCTGGTTTAGTATTCTGAAAGGGAAACAGGCTGTTCTGTTTCTAACACAAGTATTGAACACATTTTAACTAGTCCATCAAGGAAGAAAAATCTCAGTGGACTAATGTGGCTGCTCAGTTCTGCTGATCCCATACTATGATTACTACAATTTCTCTCTCTCCCTCTCCCCTCCTCCTTCCCTCTTTCTCTCTAGTTCTCTCCATCTTTCTTCTATTCGGTCCTTTGTCTACTCCCCTTCCTATTTCAGAGAGTGAACGTAAAGTAGCACATATGCCTGAGCATTTATTTCATCTTACGCCCAAAATATGTGGTATATCTGATCAGGGTGTATGTGTGTGTGTGTGCTTATAAGAAATCTGGATAATAAATGAAAGAAAATATAGGGCAAATGATAAACCACGACTACGGCTTGAATGTGTCTCCCAAAGCTCATGTGTTAGAAACCTGCCCCTTAACACAACAGTGTTGGGAGGTGGGGCCTAGCTCCCATGAATGGATTGTGCTGTTATTAAAGGAATGGGTTAGGTATAAGAGGGTGGGTTTGTTTATAAAAATGAGTTTGGTTCACTCTTGCTCTCTCACTCTTCTCTCTTACCCTCTCATCTTCCAGCTTCCACTATGGTATGATGTAGCTCTAGGGCCCTTGCCAGATGCCAGTACCACGTTGTTGAACTTCCCAGTCTCCACAACCATGAGTCAAGTAAACTTCATGACAAATTGCCCAGTCAACAATATTCTATTATAGCAACAAGAAATGGACTAGAACATGTGAGCTTCAAAAATATTGATTAATACACATCTTAACCTATAAAAATTGATTATGATTTATTGTGGGTAGATAATAAGCTATTTTAGGAAATAACAGGTAGATCAGCTGCCTGTCTAGTTCTAGCTGCCTGTTCTAGTCGGCAGCTCTGAGTAGCTATGCAACAACTGGATGGGTTCACAAGTCTCCTGTGAGGCTGAGACTAACCGTGGTCTTCTCGCTAAGCAAGAAGCCCTCATTCAAATCAGCCAGTTACCTGGCTAGCTGGTAGGCAACCCAAAGTTTCAGGAGGTGTTTGCCAGATTTTCTGCTTGCCACTCCACACCCTCACTGTAGCCCACCTGACTATCTAGAACTCTCCCTCTGTTTCAAGGCAATTACAAGTGTCCTGGACTGGTGAAGAGGGTGGCTACACATAGAACAATTTGGATGGGGGCTCACTAAATGATAGGGCATTGATAAGTAGCACTTCTGTTAATCAATTATTAGGAAATGTGTGAAGCATCAGAGGAAGGCACTTCTCAATGCAATTAGAACTTTTAAGGCAACTTCTCTGCCCGTGTCACTTGCAGTATTCATGTAAGTGGTCAGTGGTGGTCTATAGGATATATCTCGGCTACCATGTAGCTCCCCGAAGTTAGTGATGGTTAATGCACCTGATTGCCTCTTCCCCCGCTATTCCCTCCAAGCTCAGATGACTTTACTTTTAGCACTTTCTGCCTTCTTCAAGGCTATATCCCACCCTAGCCCAGGTGACCTTACCCTGATCTAAGGCAGAGGGAAGGGTAAGTAGGGGGCAATTCTTACACTCCACACTCCCTCTATCCTCCTTCAATTAATTTTCATAGTATAAGTAGTTCCCCTGGCTTTCTTTAAAGCCTCTCTATAGGTGTTCAAGAACTAGTTTCAAAACATTTTTAAAGATTCAATATTGAAAGTGACTTTCTCTTTGCAGACCTGCTATAACAATCCTAATCCTCCCTAGGCAGCTGTGAATGCCTTTGTCTGACTAGAAGAAAGGTCAGCACATAAATGTTCAGAAAAGAAAGAGAGGCCAGTAATTTAGTATTTGAAGACAGCGTCTCTCTAAAACCACATTCCCTGCCCCCTTTCTTCTCCAACAATTCATTAATCCTTTGCTTCTCCTTCAATAACTCTGGTGAAACTTCTTTCTCAAACCTTTGTTATATCTCCTAGTTTCTTTGGTTGAGACCTCAATCTCTGATAGTGTTTGATAATTCTGATCACATCTCTGTATTAGGAAGGAGGAGTGTGATACATAGGGAGTAGGAATCTAACGCTGTGCTAGCTTAAATTAAAAGGAGAAATTATCGGAAGGATACTGAGGTATTTCTTCCCAGATGAATTACCTGTTCAACCCTTTGAATCAGGGTCTGTATTCAGGCCTGGCATTTTCAAATCTAACCCCCCTACCCTGGACAGTAATTAACTCCTTAATAACCTCTAACAGGTGAACTTGAAATGTCTTAATGTTACTGTTTTCACTCATTTGAAACCTATCTCCTTGTAATTTCCACATATCATTTCTGCCTCTTCCCTACAGTCACACTTTGGTATAAAAAGCTAGATTTGGATCATAAAACTTCAGGCAAGAACTCATTAACCATTCCTCATGGAAATATTCTCTAAATTTAAACACAATACAGATGAAACGATTCTGAAAAATAACATCTTTAATGAGTATTCTAATCCTTGTCATCTTAACTAAAGTTTTGTTGAAATATATTTATCAGTATTAGAACAATACAGAGATAGTGTTTGTATATAAAGCACACTTTAAATTTCATTTAAGCCCATTCATTTTGCCTCCCACAGCCATGTTTTGTTTTGATGAAAGATGAATAAGGAATAAAGAGAAGCCCAATGCTTCAAACCAATCTACCGTGTACTCCCTAAAGAATCTGGGAGTGGATCCATGTTGGGGCGGACTGTTCTCAAACATGCAATCACTCAATTCTCCAGATGTGAACTGATGTTTCTTTCACAGCAAAAAAAGAGGGGAAAATTGCAGATCTTATGTTTGTCACTTACTAAAGAAAAACCCCAAAGAGAAGACTAAGTTATATTTGTTCTCAGACAAAAAAGCAGAAAATACCCCTGTGACCGTAGCATCATCAATTCTGCTCTGACATTTTAGTGGTTCAGTCTCCTTACGAGAATGGGGATCCCTACGTGTAGTGACTAACCCAATAAGGCAAAGCATGAGTTTACTACCCAGGATGGAAATAATTTTATCTGTCTTTCATCATTCATTGAATTCAGTTTCATTGAGGGGAGCCAACCTCTTTGATCAGGAAATTGTGTTCTTTCTGTTCTTCTAATCAATTTTTAGAGTGTGTTCTGGCCCAAAGCCTAGGTCAATCATACTTAATAGAATCATATTGCTAAAAAAATGTTCAATATCTCTAATTTTACAAAGAAAAAAGTCAAGGTCTAGAAAATGTAGCAATTTTTCCAAGAACACACAGCTAGCTTGTGCAAAGGCTCCTGAATTGTCTTCATCCTGACTGACATTAAAGAAAGATAAAAGAGAGGTCTCGGGTTGGGAGAACAAAGGTGGTGTTCATACAGATTGCTGGGGGTTGAGGGAAGAAGCGAACACTGGAGGAGGAAGAATGTGTCTTCACACTGCCAAAGCTGTGCAGGTGCCCAGGTGTGCCCTGTTCTGACTCAGCCTCAGCTCCTGGCTGGATTCTGAGAGACCAGAGCAGGGCGTCCGGGAAGCCTACTGGGTGTCCACAGAGCAGGGCCTTGTGTTGGTGAGGGAGAAGCTCTGCCCTCTGCATCTCAGGACGCCCGCCTCACACTCGGACATCGTCTGCTCCTGGCCGTTCACTTCCACGCACACGCTAAACCCTTCTTCCTCACACTCCGATGCTTCCCGACAGACACACTTGCTGCTCTGGGCTGGAAAAATAATTGAGAAAGGCTTAATGGCACATTGCGGAGGTGGGGAAATCAAAGCACATTACCTGTAAAGGAACGATGTGATTCAAGAGCTATCGTAGCTCCCGCCTTGAATTCAGTGTGACCACAAAATTGAGGCATTTTGCTCCACTCAGAATAAATAGCCTCTGAGCCTGCTTAGTTCTGGGACACGGCTAGTTCACTGTCAAGCCAGTCTGAGTCTTTTGACATCCTCAGGCTTGCTATTGCTTGGGCCCATGTGGAGTGCTTCATCCAAGTCAAGAGCTGTCTGCCTCTGTCCTCACCCATGCTGCTGTCCATGTGAGACAGCAATGGTGTGCAATCCTTAATCCCCACCAGACCAAAACTCTCCACCAGCAAAGAGCTGAGAGTCAAGGCTCAAACAGGGAGAGAGAAAGAAAAGAGCAATTCAACTGTTTTTTGAGGGGGCATGGCATACAAAAGGCTATATATTCCAAAAAACAAACCAGGAATAAATTATAGAGGCGAAGAATCTGTGCAAGAAAGTATGTGGCTGGAATACACCAGCCAGGTGTCTCCAGAACAAGAGTAGCAAGGTTAGCCAGCACACAGTGATGACCGCCAGACATGGCTAGAACAGTGCATGTCACTGTCTGGGATGGGAACCGTGAGGGAGTGAGGGGCAGGCCTGGCAGGGAATGAAGAGCTGACAGACCCTTGATGGATCACTAAGTCCAGCTCCCTAATTTGCAGATAGAGAAACCCAGGGACTGACTTGGCTCTAGAGATTCAGACCTCTCCCTTTCATAAGCCAGCCCAAACCATGGGAGATATGCCCCATGCCCTTGGTGGTATTCAAGATCATTACACGCCCTGCTTGGACATAGCATTAGCAAATACTGAATCACAACCTAAGATATAACGCTTTTTCCTATTCTCTTCAAATCTATCTGATTGTTTCTAAAAGAAAATGTCAACTTGGTGCTAGAATATTTTTAACACCCTCTAACTCTTGCTTAACAAACAAAAAGCATTGTCTGTCTCAGAGGACTATCTGGCTAGAATACACAATTTGCTTTGTTCCAGTACATGTATTTTTATAGTTACCTAATAGTTATGGCAAGTAATACTTCCTTTTAATGACATGATATAAAGCCTCTAGTTTTAAAAAGTTATTTTTAGGTCAGTCTTTTAAAAAATGAATACATAATATGGATATAGGCAATACCCAACTTACGAACAACTTGTACTTACAAAGTACTTATAACAGTAAGTCCCCAAGTTACAAACATCTGACTGATGTACCACTTACACTTACAAATGGAGGTTATTACAGGTAAGAGGTACATGTACCTGTTCCAACTTACACACAAATTTAACTATCTCGTTCACAGCCCGGGGACTGCCTATAATGCAAGGACAGAGCAGAAGTAATGAAAGTAGAATGAGAATCACCAATGTTTGAGAGGACATTTGAGCCATCAGGAATAGTTCTTGTCCTCTGAGTTCCCTTGTCTGTCTGTCCTGGCAGGGAAAGGAAGAGGGAGGCGGCCAGTTCACTGTCAAGCCAGTCTGAGTCTGACATCCTCAGGTATTGGCTTAGACCCACGGCTAAACTTCCACGTACATTTTTAAAACCCCACTATGATTACTTTAGCATTCTTATCTAAGTTATGAATATGAAAGGCCTCTTACCATCACATTTTCCCCACAGTGGACACGCATCACAAGCTTTCTCAGCTGAGGCGGGCAGAGCACAGCTGTCCCTACCAGCAAGGGTGTAATTTCTACCCTGACAGTGGAGAACATGCATCTTACAAACTGTCAGAGGCAGAATCCTTTTGCTTCTCTCATCTCGAGCACATATATCCAAGGAAGAGCTGAAAGGAATTTTTTTAATGACAATATTTATAAGACTTTTATTCTTAAAAGTTGAGAAGAATCAAAAATTGAGACTCTGAGCTTAGTGCCCCCAGATATTATCACCCAAGCAACAAAATGGGACAGAAACTCAAATCCTCTTCATTCCTAGGGCCAACCCCTTAGATATTCAAAATGAGCATATTTATGTTTACCCTTTATTTGCTCCCAATTTTTACAAGTATAGGTATCTAGTATTGATCTAGTTTCATTTAGAAGAGATCAGATATAGAAAGTCAAATAAGAGGGCAGAGTCTGTCAACAACACCTAGTAGATTAACCAACAAGGAAACAGAAAAATCAACAAAGCATTTCAGAGAGATCATCGTCAAATGGGACCATTGACTGCAGGAGAAATGGGTTCCTTCCAGCCCAGCGACCGAGGGTTCGTGTCTATAAAATAGCATTATTCAATTACTGATAAGTCTGACTCATTAAGGGAAGATGACACTATATTCCTCATGTTATTTTAAAAATATCTATGTTTACAAAATAGTTTAGAAATATTTCCATGAGACTTGATGTGGTAGCTATGCTTACAATCCCAGCTACTTGGAAGGCTAAGGCAAGAGGATAGCTGGAGGGTGGGAGAATCACTTGAGTCTGGAAATCTGACACTAGCCTGGAAAACACAGCAAAACTATATCTTTAAAGAAATGAAAAATAATTGGCCAGGTGGGGTGTGCAGTGCCTATAGTTCCAGCTACTTGAGAGGCAAAGTCATGAAGATGACTTAAGTCTAGGAGTTTGAGGCTGCCATGAGCTATGGTTGTATGACAAAGTAAGAGCCTTATTTCAAAAAAAAAAAAAAAAAAAAAAAGTATTTCCATAAAGCATGTTTCTTTTTTCACAAGCATTGGTGCTAAAATGATAAAAGAAAAAAAAAAAGTTGGAGCAGCGCCTGTGGCTCAAGGAGTAGGGCACTGGCTCTATATACC